TATATGTATTTATGCATGGCTCACTAATACTCAATAATAATTAATATTTTTAACTAAGGAATCTTAATTCGCCTTAAAAAAAATGTAGTGATGAAAGAAATGAAAAATCAAAAGTTAAAAGAAGGGGTGAAAACATTTAGCCTGATTTTCTGGAAATAAAATCTAGTTCAGCCCCCCTGATTCTTTGTGAACCATTAAACTTACAATAGAAAACAGTGCCATAGTAGTCAGTGGTACAGACCCATTTTTATTAAATTATTAACATCTGCATCTCTTACTCATCCTCCGCTGGTTTAAAATACCAGTGAAGTGGCTGAGGAAGAAGCGTAGGGATCTCCTAAGCCTCACTTTTCCCTCCACATGTGGAAGGGACAGGATTGGTTCGGAGATCACCTGGCAAATTGTAAATAATGTATATAGGTATGTTTTATATAAGGTGTTTGTTTTGCTTTTATTTCTATTTTTATTTACTTATGTGTATATATTTTTTTTTTCTTTACTCTTTTGTTCTTTTTTTCTTATTCTTTTGTTATTACTTTATTTATTTATATTTTTGTATATACGGTATGAATGCAATCTCTGAACTCTATTATAAGTGTCCTTAAACTGTGACAAATTGTAATATTTCTGAACAAAGTGTTTTAATAGTAAAAAAAAAACAAAAAAACATCTGCATAAAACTTTATGAATAGCTTCACCTTATCGTAACTTACGACGTTTTTATTTACGAAAATTCTCGCAATTGGGACGTTTTCAATCCGGAGATCGGCGAGCTTTGTCTAACTAATTACGTACTAAAAACTCATGAACACCCATTTCAACTTAAATCGTAAGATAGTTTGATGGCAAAATCGAAAAAAAATGTATGTGACCTACAAAAATATTGAGCCGTCCCCAACATGTCAAAAGAACGAGCATATATAAGCCAAACAGCTCATTATTTTTTAAGCCAACCTTTTTTTATAGATTTTGTAATTAAATAGATAGATAAAAAGGAGTATGTACCATGGGCTCTGGTTTATAGGGAATGTTAAAAAATGAGGTGCTGAGATTCTGACACCAACATCATAGGTATTTCCCATTGATTTTATAGTTTAATTTTTAACTGTTTTTAATATGATAAGAGGTTGTATTTATATTTTTTTCTGTGATTCTTAATGGGTGATAAATGTCATCTTTACCCATGCGCAGAAAAAATTGGGTTAGTGAGACAATTAAGTCTAAACCTCGGCCGAATGAGACTTCTAGCCTTGCATTGAGATCCCGATACGACTTTCACCCGCTAGCATCATAGGCTCAGCGAGCTGCAAGGCTATCCGCTTATTGCAGGTGTTTACTCTATGTAATTACTCCTCGTGGAATCCAGTTTAATTAACATAACGGGGAATATTTCTTTATAGAGTTATTGTTATTCTGTCCGTTATCTCTTAAGATTATGTTGAATGTCGTTGAAAAATAAAGTGGAAGGAATAACTGTATACCTGTCCTACTAGCACGTGTTATAATAACTTATCCCGTGTAAAATATTAGAGAAAAAAAAAGTAACTTCAGCGTGAGATTTGTAACTCTGAAGTAGTTTCATATATGTTAAAGGCACATTAATCAGCCTTTGAGAGAGCGCCGAGTTTGAATTCGTACCTGAACCTAAAAGCTTGTTATACCAAATTTAAGTTACAAGTGTCAATAATTGGGTGCACATGAATGAATCATAAATTCATATTATTATCTTTAAATATAAACTAAATTATAATTTCACAATAAAACCAAAGGGTGTGGTAAAATATTTGAGTACTTCTAGATCTTAGCCAGGGCCGAAAAAGCCGTAGTATTTTAAGCAAATTTGTAACCTTACAGGCTGATATTACTTCAGTAAGGTATCACAAAACAGCTCGTCTGCCAGCTCAGAAAGGTCGATTTAAGGTTTTAGGGACATTTATACACATCAAAAAGTTCAAAATTTAGAGGCATTTTAAGAAAATTTTCTCTTGGGCCCGTTAAGATGCAATTTTGAATAATATGCTATTACAGAGAGGATGAAATGCTGAACATTTCCCTCACTTACAGCATGCAGATCCCAAGTTTTCTGATCTAAGATATTTTAATCCATACGCTAAAACACCTCGATTGGTTGACTTACAAAACGCGCCTATGGATCAAAATATCTCAGAAACTAAAATTCGGACCTGCATATTGTAAGCGAGGGAAATGTTCAGCATTTCGTCCTCTTTAATGTGAGCTATTAATCAAAATTTTATCTTAACTCTAAGCCGCGCTATAGAGGCGACAACGCAAAAATCGTGTCGAAAACCAACAGAGTTTTATTGAAGATTTTAGTACTTACTTCTAGACATATCTTAGCTTAGCCATCCATGGATCAGTCAGAAATGCATTTCCTTTTTCCTTAATTGATTTTAGTCACATATTTTATTCATTCACCTAGACAAATTATTGATTTTGATTTTATTTTTGTTCTTCCGAATATTTGGGGAGTGAAACTATATTCTCACCACCTCTCTATTTTTTTAGGGGGGCAATCGCCCCTCGCCTACATCCCTCCCTTCATCTCTCCCCGAAGTCTGCGCTCATGGTTGAAAGACATAATTATATTTGTATAGAAACGAATATTACTAGACTTTGAATGGATGGAAAAACATGCTACGCACAAATTCGAACCAACCTAGTCAGTGCCCAGGTTTTAGTACCGCGGTTCCCCAAAGCAACCCAAAACTACCTGACTTCCATGCTTACAATAAGAAGCCTTACCTCAAGGCTATTTGGAAGTGTACTTTTAAAAATTCATTTTCCATGTTCATTTAACTCACAATAATTAAGAAAATCACCCTTATTTAAATCCGTTTGCATCGATGATTGTTAACATTCTCACACAATTAAAATAGAATAATTATTTAATCACGATAAATGATAAAGAAACTATAATATTTTTACGATTACAAGCTATTAGATATGTTTCATCGTTTTAAGAGCCTGTGAATATAACATGAAGATTTATGGAAATATAGTTTTACAAAAGAAAAATGCGTGACTATATCATAATGAATACTAACTGTGCAATACTAACAGTGGTAAAAAAAACCTTAAATTAAATAACAATAATAAAAAATACACATACTTATTTATTAAAATAAAATAAATTATTTTTATCAAAATAAGAAAATATTCTAGGGGTGGGGAGGAAAGCGTATGGTGAGGGATAAATGTTCCCTTTAAAACTAGGACGAATCGTTGTGTTCATTTCAAGAGAGACCGGTACGCCAATAATTTCATTCTTCGGATTTAAAAAAACTCCATTATACAACAACTATCAATCCATATCCAATTTCCAAAAATATATTTTTCCATCAGTTCGTTGTCAACTAACCAATGTTTATCCAAAGATGGAAGCTAAGTCCAACTTAATACCGTAGATATTTTACCATCAAGAATCTATTTCCCGTTTTCTTTCGATTTGGCACAAGGGTCTTCAAATTACGGCCCTCAGGTCAATTCCGACTCATGGACGATTTTTTGATTACATGGGAAAATCTAAAAATTACCTAAAAAATATTATTGATTTTAAAAATATATGCCATTTGCACCTACGCTGCAGCGCACCTAGCAAATTTTCTTTATTATGCATCAGCTGCAAGTTTGCTTGATTGACTTAAATTTTGTTGTTATTTTAGGAGAAGGTCCCTTGGCCATTTTCTTTTTAGTCTGCTTCGATCAGATAACAGAAAATAGAAAGGACTGATGGATTGGAGTGGTTTAGAGTTGAAGAATGAAATTATGTGTATTTGTCGTTGATGTAGAATTTTAATGTTAGGACGTTTAAGTCGTTATGTATAGTGTTGTTTGAAATGTACCAAGGTGCGTTGACAATTTTATTGACATATTTAACAATATGTCGTAGGTTTTTTTATTGTGTTGTTGTATTTTATATGTCTGTGTTTGTTTTGTGGAATCCCAAAGTTCTGCTCCATATGTCTGAATTGGTCTAAGTATGGTGTTGTCAGGATCAACCGCTTGTTTCGTAAGTTATGTGAGAATCTGCAGTTTAGGAGATGTGAGAGTTGCTTATATCGTCTAATCGATTATATCTCAATTTCCCAAAAACATTGGAGACCCTTAATGTAGCAGAAGAATGATTATTTTATTCCAATGTTATATAAATTAATATTGCTGCAGAAAATAAATGTTCTCCTTTATAAAGAAGTTATGGTAAGCGTTTAACAAGTCGAAGCTAAAATATTTTTAATTTAACCAAAATATTGAGATTGGCACACCTGTTCTAAATTATGTGCGCCTCGAACTGCTTGCCGCCCAAAATGTCCGTAGAGGCAAAAGTGCATTTAACAATTTTCGTTCGCAATAGCCTGTTTTAAAAATGAATGATAATTGCCTAGTGAACGCTTGGTGTAGAGCTCGTGTCCACGAGAGCTCAAGGAGAAAATCATTGGCTGATAAAGAAGAGAAAGAGATAGAAGTAGTGAAAAGAGAAGCCTGTCATGGAATAGGTTATGCATCCAAAGCAGGTTAGCAATTCAAGCCAGAATGTTCCATATTGTTTATGCATTATTTATAAATTATGGTTTAAACTCCATTTCCCAACCAGACTTAAACATTTACCGATAATAATGAGAATTTTAAAATAGTATAAACTTGACTGCGGAATGCTTATGTAAACATTGATAACACAAATGTAGGTTATTTCAAAATAATCGATTAATTTGTTTTGTTTTTCTTATGATAATTTTCCAAGGTATACTGTTTTCTTAGAAACCGAAAATTTTTAGGTTAATTGTTTCAAAAAATGGTTACCTTAACCAAAAAATTAATGAATATATGGTCTGTTAAACCTAACTGAATGATTAAAAATTAAAGATTCAATCAATAATATCTAATCATCGTCGTTACAGTGGATTGAAAAGAAAAAAAAATATGATAGTTAAACATTACCTAATATGTTTTCTCCATTGAAGTCAGATGGTTTATTTACATTCTAATTACAAATATCGATCTCATCTCCTGTAATTAATGCTTGAAAATGTACATATCTGTCTGTATAACATTGTTAACGATTGTATATGAACCTCATGATTTGTCTGAATGTAATCATCCCACCTCTTCAAATGAAGAATTATTTGGAAACCAATAGAGCTGTAATAATATACTTCTTAAAGTAGTAATCATTATAATAATCTCTACTAATTGGATAATTTTGCAGGTTAACATTACTCAACTTGGTCCATTGAGTCATATTTCAGTACCGATAATGGATTGTCTTTTCTTTGTAACATTTTTTCATTAATTTACTTTATATTGTTCGATCATCGTTAAACGTTACTGAAACTAAAAATTTGTAAATAAACCTTTAAGAAACGTGCACAGATATATAGCTACCTGCAATTGATGAAAACATCGAGACCATTCCAAACAACGGATTTCTTTGATGTATAATAGCCATTCGGAGATAAAGCTTGGTATTATTACAAAAGTTTTTTAAAAAAATGATAAACTTCTTTATCCAATTTCTAGTAGTTTTAATCGTTCATTTTATTTATTTTTTTTTATTACATTTTGTCATAATTAAGGACACTAGTAATAGTGAAGTCATTAACTGCTTATCGCAATGAAAAGGAAATAGCAGAGATAAATAAAATGTAAAATTACACTAATAAATGATAAAGAAATAATCAATTACTCAAAAACTCAATTTTGACATACGATCTTTTGCACTTACTGCAGCGATATATACAATAAATAAAAATAAATTAAATGTAATAGAAAAATAAATATGCACACATTTAAACAAAAAGGAAACTTAAATTAATCACAATAACAAACGAAATACAGGTATACTTATATTTTAATCATTAATAAAATCCTCAATTATTCATAGCAAATCGAGAAAAAAGTGGTCTTCAAAAATATTCAACCGTTTGGCGTGAGCTATACCACCAAAATGTCAAAATAACGATGTTTTCTTGACCAACCGGCCCAATATTTTTGTAGGCCACCTTTTTCTCGATTTTGTGATCAAATTATCTTACGATTCAAGTAGAAAGCAAATGAGTATTTACGAGTTTTTGTACCTTATTAAATAGACAAAGTTTCCCGATCTCCAGATTGAAAACGCCCCAATTTCATGAGTTTTCATAAATAAAATATTTTTAAGTTACGATGAGATGAAACTATTCACGAAGTTTCAAGCGGATGTTAACAATTTGATAAAAAGGGGTCTCTACCACGGACTGTTACTACAACGTTGTTCGAAACGTTATCAAATGTAATAAAACATTACTAAAATATATAGTATGTCTATTGGCCGACCTAAAGTTAGAATTACGATCAATTATCTCCATAACATGAAACATAGTCTAGAACGACGTGAGGTAGGTAAAGAAAACTTATTAGTCATCACGGTTTTGTCTTTTATCTTACAATTAGTGTCACTTTTCCTTGAAGTAGATAGGTTGAGTCTGGTGTTTGAACATTCAATTTTTCTGCTCTCCCAGGAGATAAGAATGTCTTCAGCTATTTTTAAAGATGCTGTACTTGTCTATACTGTACACTTGGCTTATGTGCATGTAAGCATTCTTAATTAAGAACAGTATCTGTATATGTATATGTAAAATCACAGAAAACATCACCGGGAAGCTAATAAATTGTCTTAAAAGAGGGGAGGGGGGCAGCCTTGGGCCCGAACTTCGAAGGGGGCTCGGTCTAATTTGGCCTACAAGCTTTCAATTTTTAACTTTCAAATTTACAATACAGTAAAGTATAGGTAAGATTACATGTATTTTATGATTATATATTTACATAAATATTTTATTGCATACGTTATAAAGGACAAAGTCGAGTTTTAATGGTTTATTTAACATTTAACGGAGACCCAGGAAAATTCTTTCTGGGCCCTTGGTTTCCCTCCACAAGTCCAAGTTAACAAAAACTTTGTATCTTAGAAGAAAACCGAAGCCAATGTAAACAAAAACAACCCAACGATTACTAATAAGTTATGTACATATAGTGTTGCCCAAAATCGGTCTCGGTCTTGCACTTTGCAGGACCAAGACCAAGGCCGCCTAACTGTTGCAAGACCAAGACCAGGAATAGTAAAAAAAAAATAAGGCAAAATAGTTACTAATACTTGACAATCTTAGTTACTATATGTTAATAATTGATAAAACCAATATACTTTTGCATTTAATTCCTCTATTTTTTCATTCGGCCTTAGTTAGGTTTCTCCTATCTAAAAAATTACATTAAATCTATCTAAAAAATTAAATTTCTATAGGAATAAGCTAATAAGTAACTGCAAGACTGTTTCGAGACTTTTGCGCAAGACCAAGACTGAGTTTGCAAGATCAAGACGCGTCTCTGTCTCGCATTTGGGCAACACTATGTACAAACTGGACTCTTTTTTTTTAATATACCTTATATTATATTGTTCAGTTTGATAATTAAGTAATTGAACATTGGTAACAATAGATAGAAATAGATAAACAAGATGAAAAAATTATAATATTTTTTCTTTCTTAATTTATTATTTTTGTTAAGTGACTTTAAAAATAAGCTCGCTCTGGAGCCCATATAGTTAGTGGGGTCCGACATACTAAAGGGACCCCACACTAGAGAAATTATCTTTTTACTTTCCTTCCTATACTTGGTAAGGAAAATATTGCAATCGGGTCAAATTTCTATATGCGGTTTTCGACGGATCTATACGTTTCAGAGCCCCCCTTCTCCCCCCCCCCCCCCGAAGGTAATGAAATACCCTACAAAGCCATATAAAAATCGTTCCTTTTGGACAACTATTAACAAAGTTACACCTATCCTGGTGTCAAAAAGGGGTGAATAAGAGAATAAAAAGTAAGAAAATGTGTTGCCCGCATCACACAATCTTCACTATATCCTCTACTTTTAACAGAAATTATTGTTACCGAAAATAGTAAGCTATGGCAAAAAGTTTTTGATCAGCAATATCAGTGAGTATTGAAATGTTTACACTGCTCTACCTTAAGCCGGTTTACATTGCTTTAGTTTAACAAATAAATCGTACTCAAATCTTTTGTTTGATCAATTTTCAGGAAAATAAATCGAATTCAATCATTTTTTGTTTCTTCATGGACATACGTAAAGATATAAAAACTTTTCTGAAATAGATAGGAAATTCGTGTGAGTGGACACACCAGATATTTTTTTTCAAGGGAGCAAAAAAATTAAACCGTTTTACGTAATGTTTCTGGTTATTTGCAAACACAAAAATGTTGTAAAATCATTAATATCTGAAAAAAATTAAGATAATTTCAAGAATAACTAAAGTGAGGAAAACTTCACTTTGAGTGAAGAACCCACCAGTACCAGTACTTTCTTTGTCTGTACTGGTACCGTACCTCGGGTCGGCTGGCGACCCGCTGCTCTTCCATTCAGCCTTTAGAAACGGACTTGGTTCAATTAAAGTCGTGTTTCCACTTGAGTGGTAAGTCGGATCTTCCATCACAATCCGGCAGCCTGTAATTCTCTTTCTGGTTTCTTCACTGGTTGCTTTAATTTCCTCTGGGGAGTAATTATTAGTTCGCAAAAGAATATATTGCTATCCATTTTAATAATTACTCAAAGCATAATGTCGGTTTATTGCACAGTCATTAATTTAATCACGACCTTTAATCATTAAGATATTTGGTATATTTCTCCTTTGTAAAATCTGAAAATGTTGCTCTTGTAATTATATAAATAACTATATATAAAAAGGTTTGTGTCTTTTATTTAATTTATACCCAAAACGAGATGATCTTTTGATGATGTCTGGCTATGTTTATACTATTTTTTATTACACAACGTTTTATTGTATTTGAGAGAAAATATGAATTACAGAAGATAAAATAAAATCCTTTCTTCTATGATTTAAATTCTTATTTATTCTGTAAATTCTTTGAATCAGAGTCCTATAACAATATGAATTTTTCCCATGCACCCGTGTGCCAGCTGGTTAGCCCTGAAGGTGTAGTTTAAAAATTACTTATTAAAAACTGAATAAAAAAAGAAATTAAACTATTTTTTTCAGGTCTTGTTTAATACACAAAATGATCTAATATTTATGTAATAATCAGTATACTGATTTTCTGATAGACATTTAAAAAAATTTTAAGTGAAAACTAAAAATGTTTAGCAGTTTTTTTTTGTGCTTATGAATTTCTTCAATAAGAAGTTTTCCTCAACCACAAACTCTTGCTTCAGCAAGTCCCTCCAGCCATACTCTCCACCACTCTGTCCTTCCATCTAACTGGAGGTCTTCCTCTCCTTATATACTCTGCCTCCCAATCCATAATTATCTTTGGTATCCTATCGTCACCCATTCATCTCACATGTCTGTACCATCTCAGTCTCCTTTATTCCACAATCTCTTGGATATTTTGTTTTATTCCCAGTCTTTCCTTTATTGTAAAATTTTTTACCGTTTCGATTAGTGTTGCCCGAAATCGGTCTTGGTCTTGCACTTTGCAAGACCAAGACCAAGGCCGCCTAACTGTTGCAACACCAAGACCAGGACTGGTAAAAAAAATCGATGTTTTTAATAAAAAAATAAGGTAAAATAGTTACTAATAATCGACAATCTTAGTTACTATATGTAAGTAATTTGTATAACCAGTTTTGCATTTAATTCGTCTAATTTTTCATTCAGGCTTAGTTAGGTTTCTCCTATCTTCAAAATACAGTACTGTAAGACTGTTGCGAGACTCTTGTCCAAGACCAAGACCATGACCAAACTGAGTTTGCAAGACCAAGACTCGTCTGAGTCTCGCATTTGGGCAACACTAGTTTCGATCCTCGATATCCTAGCTGCTCTCCTCGAAAAATACATTTCAACTGAAAGAAATTTCCCCCCTGGGTCATACTGCGGGGTCATGTCTCTGAACCACATAACATTGGCTTATGCTAATAACATTAGCGTTTAGCACTTTATTTACCAAGAGAGACGAGTCTTGGTCCTGCGCAGGAGTATCGCAACAGTCTTGCAGTTACTGTTATTAGCTTATTACTAGAGAGATATTATTGTATTTTTTAAGATAGAAGAAACCTAACTAAGCCCGAATTAAAAAGTAGAAGTGTTAAATACAGAAGTATATTGGTTATACCAATTATTAACATATAGTAACTAAAATTTTCAAGTATTAGTAACTATTTTGCCTCAAGTTTTATTCAAAAAAATCGATTTTTTTCACCAGTCTTGGTCTTGATGTTGCAACAGATAGGCGGTATTGGTCTTGGCAAAAATTGTCGAGTATTAGTAACTATTTTGTCTTAATTTTTATTTAAAAAATCATTTTTTTTTTTTTGCCAGTCTTGGTCTTGGTCTTGGCCTAGCAAAGTGCAAGACCAAGACCAATTTTGGGCAACACTACACTGGACTATGTAACGCTCATTCAGTTAAAATCGGCTCGACATAGACTAACATATTTTTGTTTGTTTATTATTTTTTTAATATAGACATTTTAATAATGAATATCGAAAACAAATCATTTTCATTTGATATCGTCAATTATAATTTTTATGTAATAAATTCTTTAATTCGACGTTTACTTATATTAACACTCAGGATTTATCTCATGTAGTTTGTTTAGGCCTGAAAGTGTAGTGTAGTAGTGGTTTAAATGCGTGGAGCAGAGCTGACGCACTATCAATGGATCTACGGCACGGAGGCGACCTCCACCTAAATCCAGACGCCAGCCATCACCTTGGCCAGGTAGTTGGGGGTTCCCGTCGGGGAAGGAGGTTCACTAACCCGCCGTAGTAAAACCCTGGGGTTGGAGCTCCGTTAAGTCAAAGGACGCTCCCTACAAATTTATGGCAAATGAAAGGTTATTTCGTGGAGTACTGACGAATCTCAATTCTGATCACCGAATTCATACTAAAAAATTAATAAAAACGCTACAAATTATTTCGCAATGGTTTATTATTTTCAAACAATCATACATCTAAAGTAGCTTACCTTAAGTACCTTCCTAGTAAAAAAGAAAATAATAAAAGGTGATTCCTATTATTGGCCTAAACAGTTTTTTTAGTAATCTGCTAAAAAAAAAATAGCAATACTTCAGGTAGATTCGTTTAGGCGCTGCAGTCTATAGCATCACAGGTTTTTCGGTTGCCATCTTGAAAAGAAAAGGCGGATAGTAATATCGATGTAGGAAGATCATCCTCGGGTGATCTCTCACTGTAAATCCAAATTTGAAAAAAAAAAAAGTCGGTACAGCAGTTTGGGAAAAAATGTGCGGACGGACAAAACAAAATGTATTCGATTTTTTAATTCTACGTATCCTGAAACGTAAAACCTCAAATTTTGATGGGGGTTTAGTTTTTGAATTTTTTGGTCGATTACAATAGTTCATTATTTAAAATAATAAAACAAAAAATTATTGTAAAACAGTAGGCCTCATTGTTTTGTCGAAGGACCGATTATGATCAAGTTGTGTCAAGTCGACGCGGGCATCAACACCCCTTGCGTTCTTGCGTTCGAAAGCCCTAAAATATACAAATTTACCGTGATAAACCACAATTCTTGCCGAAAGCCTTCTAGGTGCCACGATTACCACATTTTATGTTTCGTAGGTCATTTTGGTTTTAAGATACTGCTATTTATTATAGCCTTGGGTAAACTAAAAATCTATTGAAGAAGTAAACGAAGGAAAATATTCTTGAAATCCCTCTCTTATTAATTCAGGATCGACATTAAAACATCTTAATTGAAAAAAAAAATGCTATAGCTCCATAAAAACTATTTTCAATGCCACGCGTATAGCTAAGTTCAAATAATTTTAATTAATATTGTAAGTTTGCCAGAGAACTCATTTTAAACTGACTTCGAACTCTAAAATCTCTTAAAATAAACCTATTAATCATTTCTGAAAATAATTATAAATTAAGGATGGTGATCCTGATATTAATCTCGCAGATTTCCTCCTACGTCAAAGTTGTCTTATTTTTATAACTTACATTTTAATATATTTGGTAATATATATTTATATTAATTTATTTATTTTTGATCTAGATTTTAATTTTAGCTTTAATCCTATTATATTCCTGGCGGACTTGTTTCGTTAATTATTTAAATATTCATTAATCGGTTGTAATTAATAAAATCTATTGGCATTTATAATCGTGTCAGAAAATTGATTTATATATTTTCTTTCTATGTTTTTTCTTTTAATTGGTAAGTTGATTTAGCACATCTTGAATTTATCTTTTGGTTATTTGAAGTATGAAATAGGCTAAAGCCGAACTTCAATTCTTTAAAATTATTCTAGAAAATTTTGCGACAGATAAATTATACCTGTCAAATACCTAATATTACTTTAAAAAACATAAACATTTTAAAAGAATAAACGACGAACAACATGACTCCTCTAAAATTTATTTTCTAGTAGTATTGATATAATGCGTACTAGTGGCCTATTATTTGATCATGTAAAAATCATTTTGGCAAATCTGCAGTCAAATTGGTGTCCGTAAAAAGATAATTTTCTCTTTACAAGTTCAAGTGAAAGTGATATCTTCTTAACCTTTAACCTTTTAAACTGAGTTCAACTGGTGCTTTTAAGAGGCTTAACAATTGCTGTACTCTTGGAAAATAATATAAATTATTACGTCTGTTATGTTGTTTGATTTCATACTTACGATTCTTTAAAAATATTTATTAGTGCTGGACTGACGGATAGATGTTCTAGTTGCAGGCTGAGGTGTGGGTGGGATGGTTGTGTTGAGGTTGACATTGCAGATTTAGGTTTTAATGGGATTCAGAGAGGAACTAGAGTATAACAGCGATTATTAAAGGTATGGCTACTGAGAGAAGAAAAAAAAACAGCATGGAAGCACGCAATTGTTCTCAAAGACTGGCATAAAAAATCTAGTTTTGGGGCTTGTGGTGGCATTATTAAACACTAATTTTATCCTTCCAACAAATTTTTTGATAAGAACAAATAACATTAGTCCTAAAAACAAATTGAGATGTTGGTATTTTAAGCGAAATAGCCGTCTGTCCCGTCTTAATTAGCATAGTAAACGCTTCACGTCTATTTTTACAGTAACCCATTAATCTGGTCTGGTAAGCTGGAGGGGATTTTTTTCACTTTATTTTTTCTTAAAGTTCTAACAAGAATCGTATCCAAACCATTTAAATCTGTATGTGATTAGTAACTTACAAAATATTAATAATTATTTTTTGAAACTCGCCAAATACATTAAATAAGTACTTCCAGAAAGTAATTAATTTTATTTTGTCAAGAAGTAATGGAATTGTGGATCCATGGAATGTTTATCTCAACTACTTAATTTAAGCTTTATAGTTAGTTAAAACAATAAATATTAAAATTATATTTAATTGGCACATTTGATTAAATGCACTAGTACCCCTTATAAGTAATTAGTACTGTTTTGAACTCTATAAAAATTGCTCTCAGTTTTAATTTACAATATTTTTTTTCTTCTTTTAAACTATGGCAAAGAAGTATTTTGAAAAAATTAAATAACTAACATGGGACATCACGGACTTCTAATTCATTCACTCACTGTCAGTGTTCAAGAATCTGGAGTATGAATATAAATTGTCAGGTTATTGTGAGAATAAATTTCAAACTAATCTTGACATATGAATGCAATCATTTCTCACAGTGCTTCTAGCTTAGAACAAAAGGCTAAAGGTTGCAAACACATCACTTTCACTTGGAAAAATAAAATTGTAATTTTACGGTCACCATTTTGAATACAAATTAGTCTAAATCACTAGCAGATCCAGGATTTAATTTTGGGGGGGCTTCAGCTCGAAAGTTTTTTTTCATATATATAACGACAATTAATTTGAAGGAAAAAAATGATAGAAACTAACTACCTATATGACATGGTGTTTAAGTAATTATTGAAGTCCTATTAAATGTAATTACACGAAGAATAATACTTCAGAGATAGTTTTTAATTTTTTTTCTGTAAAACAAGATTATATTTTACTATTTTGGGAGGACTTCACCATGAAAACTCCCTCCCCCCTTCACTCCGTAGATCCGCCTGTGGTCTGAATTATTTGTATTTATTTGCTTTATTTTTTAACTAATAAATAATCTAATACTAGTTACTACCCAATTCATCTAGCCTAAAAAAAAAAAAGAAACTAATACAAATACTCATACGGTTATAAAATTTCATGTTATTTGTGAATATCTCTCTTCGAAGACTTAAAGAGCATTAGTATGAAGACAAAAAGACGATAAATAAAAAGTTTAATATCTAACATTTGTTTATAATTAATTAGGAGGTAGTTATAGCAGTCAGAGTACTGACCACGCTGTCTGCCATCGTCAGTCGCCTT